GTTCATAAATTTGAGGAGGCACCTGGCCCTGTTATGGACTCCCATGGTGTGCATTGCTGGGACAAACCTGTCCCTGCATCAGTGCCTCCTCCTGTACAGCCATGGGTACATTCCCTCTTATATTGATTGCATACATGCTCAACCAGTCACTAAAAAGTAAAATTTGACCCCATCAAGCAGAGGCTCATAATGATCTCAGCAGGTTTATTGGGCTGATCGATAGCACATGGCTCCTCTGCAGGAGCTGAAAATGTCTATGTCATCCTTACATTAAAACAAGTGTGGGGGAAAGGCATTTCCACGCTGAATTGTTCAATCTGTTTAAATTAGGTTTCTTTTTTTTCCCCCCCAAACTATCGACTAATGGGCTGAAACATTTCTAAATGTGTCTGTTTTTGAAGACAATGCCATTTTTCTCGGGAAAGAAAATCGTTAAGTGACAAGTGAGCAACGAGCCTGTCCTTGTCAGTGTGCTTCTCAGCTGGGGAAACAGGTGTGGAAAAGGTTTAAATTAAGTGCTTCTCTGCACTGTGACTCAAAATGTAAATGGTTCGCCTTCCAATGGTTTTGTTTTTCTCTTAGGGTTTTGCTCATTTTTGCTATCAAGTCCAGTCGTGCAGTATTCCAGAAATAAGTGCAAAGTTCATAATGCATCGATTTCCTTGGTTGTAAAGCCTGTAATTTCATCACCGTTTCCTGAACACCTCAGGATTTCCAATGGCTCCCATGATGAAGCCAGCCGTAGGCAGCCACCCCTCATTTCAACCCGTTGGCCCATGTGCAGAGCCCCTCTGCGCTGAAGGCCACGTGCCATTTCATTACCTCTGTATCATCATCCCAAACCCTGGGGAAAGGTTGTGCTGGGGCTTTGTCAGCACAGCAACTCACTGTTGTTGCTATTAGCTTTGTCCTTCCAGCCCCAGGTGTGATAAACCTTGCACTTTGTACAAAGGGCATGTCACACCCCTTCCATCTCCTGTTTTTACACTTGTTTTTAGATTTTTATTAGGAAAAGTTTCTTCTGAAAAAGAGCAGTGATACGCTGGCACAGCTGCCCAGCAAGTGGTGGGGTCACCATCCCTGGAGGTGCTCCAGATCAATGGGATGTGGCACTGAGGGATGTGGCGATGGGCACGGTGGGGAAGGTTGGGGTTGGACTTTGGGTTCTTAGTGGTCTTTTGCAACCTGATTCATTCTATGATTCTGATTATAAGTGCTTAAATACACGAGCTCAGGGAGGAAGCCAAATCCTGTCTTGTGTTGAAGGCAAAGGTAGAGACCAGCCCAAATCTTTCTCACCTGGGGAAAATGACTGTTCCTGTCATGGAAAATACCAAGCAGTTATATCTATCACCTTCCCATATTAAGAGACCAATGGCAAGAAGGCTCATCTAATGTAAATCAGGCAACATTTACCAGGGTAAGTGGAGCACTTAGTAGTGTTTGATGCCATATTTTTGGTTGCTGGGTAATTTATTTTCTTCCAGATTTGCAGTGATATTATCACGCTTGGAAGAATAGGAACAATAAAGGGGAGTTGGACTAACTGACCTTTGAAAGTCCCTTCCAACTCTAAGGATTCTATGATTCTAACATTGGAAAACGTGAAATGTTCAACAACTGTGGAACTGGTGGGGAGATGAATCTAGATTTTATTTTTAAAAGCACAAGTGAAGTTTAAAGCAGAAAGGGAGGGGGTATCCTTTACTGCCCATGCTCCCTTTTAGCAGCTGCCTTGTTGTATTGATAACACTCAAGATTGGCGTCAAGTTGTACCAGGGTAAGTTTAGGTTGGATATCAGGAAAAACTTCTTTATAGAAATGGTTGCTGAGCACTGGAATAGGCTCTCCAGAGAGGTGGGTGAGACACCATCCCTGATTGTGTGTAAAAACCATCTGGATGTGGTGCTCAGGGACATGATTTAGAGAGGGTTGTTTGAGTTAGGGTAGTAGGGTTAGGTTGCAGTTGGACTTGATGATTTTTAGGGTCTTTTCCAACCAGAGCAATTCTATGATTATCAAAAAACAAGTTCTGAAGTGATGAAAAGCTGGCGCTGAAGCTTGGTTTTGGTCCTACAAACCCTCTGAGCCCAGGTTTGCTGTTCTGCTCCTCATCATGTCTTTCACGTGTAAAGCTTCCTGGGGCACAGAAGGCTGAGGGATGCTGAGCCTTTTGGCTCTGAGGATATTGCACGTGAAAACAAAGCAGTAATATTTTTTTTTGGTTGAACAGTCCTCTGAGTTCTTTTCTACACGTGTGACTAAAAAGTGTTGCTGTGCAATCTTATGAAAATGAACCAGGAGGTGGGAGGAGGCATTCTGGTCCCACCTGGGCTTTTTGAAGGGGTAAACTTTCATTCCTGTGATTGTTGAAAGCAGAAAAAGCAGAACAGGTGCGGAGAACCTGGCTCCAAATTACTCACTGTGCAATGGTTTGGCTGCGATCTGAGGGAAGGCGCTGGGAATTGCAGCATAAAGGCAGTCAGAAAGCAAGGAGCAATGGATTTTATATTGTGGCCTTTCAATTCCCATTCTACAAAGGCTTTTGTGTACATTTAGGGAGGGGAGGAGAACTGGCTGCTGGTCCTGCCCATGGGAACAGAGAAGGGTGCGAGGGTGGCGCAGAACGCTCTGCATCTCTTCTCTGCTCAGGAAGGGATTCAAGATGCTCTAAGCCAGAGAAAGATCCACAGTGCACACAAGGGAAAGCTTGATTTCCTAACGCAGCGGTGTGTTTTGTTTTTTATTAGCTATCTTGCACTGCAGCAAAACTCATCCCGGTCATAATCGTTCCCAGTGCCAAAGAAAAGAAGTAAAATGCAGGAGCAAATAACTGCCTTTGTGGGTTCATGAAGACCAGGGCGTCTTTGCACTTCTGAGTTCTGGCATAATAAATCCTGAAGTGCTTTTCTTCTCACAGCAGACGCGGTTAATACAGCTGTTTGCTGGTGTGTCCTTAAGAGGAAACAAATGGCAACTTCTCAGTGGGCAAGCAGCAGAAGCCTGAAAACCCTGTGATTTTCTCCTCGTTTGAGAAGCTAAGAAAGAAAATAAAAATGATATATATCTCTATATATTTTCTTCTTTAAATCTCTTCCTGTGTTTTCCATCGGGACAAAATGCAATCAGCATTTCAGAACGTGTCTCTTAAGGTGGAAATGACAGCAGCTCACTCACACCACCTGCCCCGACACCAGAGATGGCCAACTGGACAAGATGCATTTCCTACCCAGCAGCTCTTCTGCAGAGGGGGCCTATGGGGATGCTCAGGTGTGCTGGGCCCTGTAAACTGCTGTAGAAATGCAGCCCTTCTCCTCCCCACATCCTGCAGCCCCCAGGACAATCCTTATCAGGACACAGTGAGTATAGCAGGTTTCCCTTCTGTTTCTTCCAGTGCAATCACAGCTGCTGACTTCTGCTTGTCTGCAGATCCAGCTTGCAGCTGGAAGCTCAAATCTCTTTTTATTTTCTGTATGGGTTCCTAATCTGGAAATGGATCTAATTTGCTTTACTGAATTACAAGCAAATTAAGCTGAACACATTGTGTAATGCCCCGATGCGTTGCAGGGCTTTCGTGAAAGTGAAAAAAGAGTGTTTGTAATTGCTTCAAGTTTCTCCTTTCCTCAATATCGGTACCTTTGTGTTCTCAAAAATATAAAATGTCTCTATTAACAGCAGAGGTTTTGCTCAGGGCCAGGAGCTGGAGCTGCATCTGTCTCACATCTTTCATCCTCTCAGCCATAAAAGAACATCCCTGCCAACATCCCGAGCTCTGTTTCCTTGCAGTTCCTCCCTTCACAGTCAGGCACACTTTGGTTATCTGCAATATTGCTCTTGATGGTATTATTAAATAGTTCTGATCATTTTCCTGTTGGCAATAGCTTTTTCCTCTCAGATGGATTTTTTTTTTTCCCTCTGGTTGTAAATCAGCTTTAGAGCCTCGTACGTTTAAGGAGAGTAAATACCTCAGTGCTCCAAATGAGACAAGTATTTTGCATTTTCATTTCCTGACCCATCAGGGAGAGTTTCATGCAAAATGCGGGAGAAACATCAAAATGATGAAACAGCAGTGTTTTTGGTTTGATCTCTGGTTAGCACAGCTGATGTCAGACAAACTTTCCAGCGCTCCTCAGACTTTGCAGAGAGTGAACTCCAAGAGGGCAGACCCTTTATAGGTCATTTCTGAATGGCCAGTTGAGCTTGCTGACAAACATTCATCACCTGAGGTTTTGTCTATTTTTTTAGTTTACTGATTTGATGAGATCTGAAAACCAAGGGATGAATCCTGCCCGAGGAGGACAGGCTGAGAAGAGAAGGCTCTTGGAAGGGCTGGGAGTAACCTGTCAGTACCTACAAGGGGCTGTAAGGAAGGAGGGGACAGACTCTGTAGCAGGGTCTGTTGTGATAGGATGAGGGGAAATGGTTTCAAAGTAAAAGAGGGGAGATTTAGGCTGGATATAAGGAAGTTTTTTCTAATAAGGGTGGTGAGGCAGTGGCACAGGTTGCTCAAAGAAGCAGTGGGTGCCCCATCCCTGCAGACACCCAAGGTCAGGCTGGCTGGGCTCTGAACACTGATGGAGCTGTGAGTGTCCCTGCTCAGTGCAGAGAGAGGTTCCCTTCCAACTCCAACAATTCTATGCAACATCAAGTTTGGTTTCCTTTCACCACACCGCGTTTATTCTGATAGCAAAGAAACCTTTCCTCTTCCCAAAGGTTGTTTAACAGGACTGATTTGCAAGGTTCTTTTTTAAGCTGAGAACAATTAAAAACTCTAACTGTGATAATTAACAGTCACAAAGCTTATCTTTGGGGAAAGTATAGCGCACAGTCCCATTTTAGTCCTATTATAACAAGGAGGGAGAAAAATAACATCAATCTCCACCAGTACTCAGAGCAGGAGCCTTGTGAAGTGCCTGCATAGGGCGTGAGCTGCCCATGCAGCGTGGGAGGTGTGTCATTTTGGCAAACAGAGAAATGTTGTGACGTAGAAACAAACTGTCAGCAGCCAATGTGGGAAAGGGTGTTCCTCCCTTCTCACAGGAAGCGGTAGTTTGGTGGAACTCACCCCAGGGTCAGCCTTCCGAGACGATTTACCAGGATGCTGGGGAGGATTCTGGGCCGTGGTCCAGTGGGGTGGTGGAGGTGGGGGGCTCACCTAAACGCCTGGGACCTCCAGGCTGCTCCACCACTGCTGTGCTGTGCCAGAGGTGTTGGGAACAGAGCCAGGGGTGCGCAGGGTGCAGTGCTGCAGACGGCTGCTCCAGGTGGGTGGAAGTTCTTTGGTCGTTGTTTTGTGCTGCAGAATGGGGGGAGAAGGGTGCAGGGAACAGCTGGGAAATGATCCCCGTTCTGTGCCGTTGCAGTGCTGTGTTGGTGCTATGAGTGCTCTCTGGGATACGGGGACAATTGAGAGTTCCAAGTAGAGGGATAAAGATTTTTGTGTGTGTGTGTTAAGTAGTTCTGGTGCTATGGTGGCAAATACGAAGTGATGTCTTATGTCCGAGAATCTGTTAGCTAAAAAAAGAAAGTGAAAGCTCCTCCTTGCAGCCTGCTGCCGGGTTTCTGGAGGAGGATGGTGCAATCCCCACTCCCGCAGGTACAGTGCTGCCACATCCCATCCATCCCCACCCAGAGCACACTGGAAAACAGAGATGTGCCAGTTCAAAAGGGGACACTGCAATGGCTCAGTGCAGCGACTTCCAGGCAGTGGGTTTGTTTGTTGCTCCTTCCAATGACAATGAAGTTCCTAACCGTGGTTGCACATCCTTTCAGGCTGGTCTTCCCACCAGGGAGCTGCTTGTTGCCCACTGCAGATGAGGTTTCTGCACCAAATTCCTCGCCCTGGTGAGTACAGACTGTGTGGGGCTGCCAGTGCTGCCATGGGTCTGCAGCATGGGACTTTACCCGTATCTTCTTGGGGTTGAAACCTGTCCTTTCAGCGATCTGTCCATCTGATCAAATTCAGAGTCATTGATGTTTCGGATCCATCTCTGGTCTCCCTGGCACTGTTAAAAAAAAACAAAAACAAAAACAAAAACAAAACAGTAGGAGAAACAGTAGATTAACTTTACCTGCCCTGTAAGGATGCCAAGATTTATACCTGGAATTGTTCAGCCATTTACCAGCCCTGGTGTGCACAAGCAGGTGTGGGATAAAGGCAATTAATGTGATTTCACCATCTCAGTGCAGGCAGGGAGAGGTGCTCTGTGCCTTCAGCAGCAGCCAGGCAGTATGGGATGCTCAGACCATGCATCTTTGTGTCTGTCCCTTCCTGCATGGCTTGGTCACCCACAGCATGCTTCTAAACACCAGTCCCACATCACAGGGCACCATCAGCCAGCATCTTGTGTGCGCCCTGCCTGGGTGTGCAAGCAGTGGTTGCCTCTACAGGTGTACAAGGCAAAAGCCAGCATTTGGGCTGGCTTCCCCTATTTCCACAGGGGACTGTGGCCTCACTGTGGCCTGTCATTGGACTTGTTTCCATCAAGAGGCGCTGGAGTCCCTTTCTCATTATGCTCACAGTGACAGCATGCTAATGGCATCGCTGCAGCACTCTGCTGGGGTGTCATGTATCATCATTAGAGTACAGCAACCTGGTACCCAGCTTGCATGAGAACGACAGCCTCCCACCAGGATGTACTTCCACAGACCTCATCTCTCCATCAGCCCTTTCTGAGAGAGATGCTGTGGAGGAGTTACTGGTGCTGCTGGCAGTTTGCTGAGCTCCCTGTTGGAAAGCAGGAGGCAAGCAGGGTGACAGCATGCTGTGGGGTGGGTGATTGCAGCCTCACATCTCTTCCCTTCAGAATAGGGAAGACTGAGAAGATTTTTAGTTTAAAACCTACTTAAATAAAGAAAATAATTTTTTTAAATGGGTAGGTTCTAAATATTATAAAGCATCTCATCCCAGCTGCTGGATCTTATTGACATTAGAAAGCATGTTTGGCTCTCAAAGAATAGAAAAGTGCTGTTCTAAACTTTAGGTCCCCTTTCCCCCTTAACTGTATTGGTGTTGGCACAGCTGCCCAGGGGGTGATGGGGTCACCATTCCTGGAGGAGTCCCAGAACTGTGGGGATGTGGCACTGAGGGATGTGATTTGGGCATGGTGAGGTGGGTTGGGATTGGACTGGGAGATCTTAAAGGTCTTTCTGGCCTTATTGATTCAATGGCTTCTTTTTTATTTTTCTTCTTCTTAAGCTTTGCTCACTCTTTTCTTTTGCAAAATCTCTTAAAGCATTCAAAAATGAAAGAAGGCCTACAAATTTTGACAAAAAGGTGTTGGTGTGGGCAGGACGCTTTAAAAAGGAGGAGGACATTCCCAAGTACATCACGTAAGTAGACCTTTTTTCTTTTGATATTAATTGAATTTTGCTGAGTGGTGCTGATTGAGACCCCAGCCTACCTTAGTCAGAAGGTTGCTCGCAGGGTTGGTGTTTGTGGGCTGCCATGCCAATGGTGCTCACAGCTACTGGTGTCCAAAAAGAATCCCGACAGTTGGGAGCATGAACTTCTTGTTTTGCCTCTGATGCAAATTGGGTTCACTTATTTTTGTTGTCATCCATCTCAGACTCATCAGAAGTATCTTTAGCAAGGCAAGTGGCTCTGTAGTTCAGGAATCACCATGGTAAAACGTCATCCACTTTGGGTTTTAAAAGTTTTGCTAGCTTTTATTAAAGGAACATTAGTGTTATTCACAGATCTGGTGGGAGACATCTGCAAAGAGTTCCTGGTTTCTGGTCTGTGGTTTTACCCACAGATGATCTTGCTGGTCATTTCCAACCTTGCAATTCTATGATTTTAAATGACCCCTCTGTCAAGGTATTTTGTTACAGGGCTGTGTTTCATTTCAGAGTCCCAGTGCCCCCTGCCTTGTAGGATCCTTAGGGGTTGGCCTTTCCCTTGCAGACATCATGGAATCCACAGCTGGATATGATTTCATGAATGACTCAGGCTGTCACCTTGCAGCCTCTTGCAAGCATGAGTGGTCAGATAAATGCTGTGAGTCACTTGTGGAAAGCGGTGGAGATTTCTCAGCAGTGGTTGCAAGAAGCTGCTTAGGATGATGACTCTGGATGGATGGTGGTCATCTGCTCCTGCTCAGCCTTCCACTTCATGGTGCACAGACAGGCAGCTGTTGGAAGATTTGGGGATTCATCACCCAGCTCCTCACAATCTCATTTCCCACATGCTGCTGCAGGATGGGAACTCTGCTCTGTCCTCCGCAGGTCTGAGGTTCTGGATGCAGCAAGGAACACTGTGAGGATAAAGGTTTGCTACATCATGATTGCACTGACCTTGCTGGGCTGCTTGGCCATGGTCATCACAGGCAAAGAGGTGAGTAATATATTCTGGATGACACACTTATCGGGTGGTTTATGTGGATTTTCTTTTTAAAAAAGCACCCAGTTGGCAGGCTTTGAGATTAAGTCCATATTAGCAATATTAGCATGGGATCTCTCTTGCTCCATTCTCCAGGGATGAGGTTGGCATGGGGAAGCACAATTTGCTTGTTAGAATGTTCCTTCTGGCACACTTCACCATAAACTCATGTGCTCAGTGCCTCCATATCACAGTGTTTCAGCAAGTCCAAAGGTTGTGGAGTAGCTCAGACAGTGTTGGCAGAGCCTGCTCCTGCCCTGTGGCCATGGGTAATGGCTTCCTGTGGTTCTGCCCAGCATGCCACCATGGCCACATGGCTGTGATGCTCTCTTCTCCTGTGCCACTCTTCTCCTGTGTATGGAAGGAGGATCCGCAGCCTAAGTGGCACGTCCTAGTTGTGCACTGTCCTCCTTCCTACCTGCTCATGCACCTGTAAACATCATGCAGTGTAATTTTTCTGCTACTTAGAAGCTGAAAATGTTGAGAAATTTGTAAAACAAAGAAGCACATTCATGTCTTTCATCGTGAAATATCAGAGGAGAGTGGGGTGTCAAAGCAAGTGGTGCAAATGAAGGGAACTTTAGTGGTAGGAAATGTATGTATGCATGCAATGTTTTTCACCATTTCTTTCCAAAGGCTGCTAAAAAGGATCACACACTGCTGAAGGTGAATGAAGAGAAGAAGGCTAAATGGAGGGCTGAAGCAAAGAAAGATCAGGAGGCAGCTGCTGTGAAGGCACAATGATCAGGAACAGGTTTACTTGAACAGTGGGAGAGAAGTGATTTGCACACATGCCATATGTACCTGTCTTCCTTTTACTCCTTGGATCTTTCTGCCTGCAACTCTCTCAGGGTAAAGGCTGCTCCATGTGAACTGTGAAGCTCTGGTGGAAACCCCAGCAGCTTCCTTCTCTGGCCTCTGGTCTTTGGTACTGGGTTCAGTTAAAATAAAGACACATCCTCTGAGCTGGGAAGTGTGAGAACGATGGGTGGAGGACTGCACAGCTCAGGATCCGTTCCTCGTGGTGCTGCTGCTGCTCAGCGTGGTCCTTGCAGGCAGGAAGGATGCAACCCTATGTCAGAGAGCATCCCAGGCTGTGCAATTCCTCTAGTGCACACAGGCTTGGCCAAAGGGATTTGGGGCAGAGGGAGAGCAGGTGTGAAATGTGTCCTCAAACCAAGAAGAGGTCGAATATCAATTCCTCCGACTCTGCTATCATTGCTGTCCCACCCCTCTCGTTAGCCCCTCACAGAGGGACATGAGCAGGTGGAGGGGTATGAGCAGCCCTGGTGACTGAATTGGGCTAAAAAGCCTTTGGGTCAGGGGAGCTGCTGTGAACATGGGCTGGCAGCATGGGCTCATGGGGTGGTTTGGTTATGGTGGACAGCTGCCCTCCCAGGAGCAGGGAGCCTGGCCAGGGGCACTGCCCATCCTGTTGCACTTTGTTGCTTTGCTTTTTCATCTTCTGCTTCCAGTCGTTGGCATGGAAGCTCCCTAGCACTTGCTTAGTTGTGATTTTAGTTAGGATTAATTGCTAATAGATGGTTTGCTAAAACTGAATTCTTTTTAATCACCATAGTTCATTAACTCATAATAAAACAGCTGTCCAATTACATCTAAAACAAACACTTCTCTTCACAGCTTCATTTAAAGTGTCACCAAACTCTGAGATGGTGCTTAATGGGAGAGATCCTCAAATACTGAAAGTTCCATTTTCATAAAGTCATTAAATTTTAAGACAGACCTCAGCTTACCCTTGTGGTCCGAGTCTCCGTGCATCATTTATATCATAGAATCATTACGGTTGGAAAAGACCACTAAGTTCATCAAGTTCATCAAGTGAACCCATCACCATCAGCCTGCAAAAACAGGTAAACCCTTAAGACCCATAAGTTGAGCCCACAGAGCTGGATATGCTGCATGGGGTACCAAGGGATGTGGAGCAACAAAACCCACCATCTCAACCACCACAGGAGGTGGCAAACCAAGCTCAGCCTTTCTGCTACACATAATCACACCAAGGCTTGGCTCTGCTGCTGCAAGGTTTGTTACCTGGACCACGTATACTTGGTTCCAGCAGTCTGGAAGATTCCATGCAGGTATCTGGGTTTATTGTGCCAAAAATGACGGTCCTCTTATCACTGGTGTGTCACTATGAAGAAGCTGCTGGCAAGGGTGAGCTTTTCCCCAGGGCTTGGGGTCAGTGCTCAGCAGCTGTTGGGCTCTGGGGCTCCTGGGTCTGTGGGCTTTGGGTGTTTGGTTGTGGTGGTTCCTTCCTTCTGCACACCTGTGGAGGATGGGGAGCTGTGTGAGGGGACGTTACATCTGTCACATCTCGGTGTTTGCAGCCCTTGTTTCCGACTCACAGACCTGTGCAGTACAAATTGTAAGAAGTGATGTCTGCTCCCTGCGGTATTCCTCACAGTGCATCTCAGGAAAGTGAAAATAATGGTCTAGGACAAGTACAGAGTGAGCAAGTCTCTGATGAGAAGGCAGTTCTGCTGGCACAGGTAATCCACGCTTGTTGGGTGGATGTGACCTGGTTTCCTTGGTTAGTGCACTAACCTGGAAGAATTTCCTCAGAGTTAATGTTCATGTGGGGATAAACTAAAACACTCAGTCCCCTGGATAAGTTCTAAATTATTAAATGGCCTTCTTGGGCCCTCACTAAGAGGACACATGTAACACTCAAAAGAGCCCATTTTGATGCTCATAAACAAAATCACTTCCACATTCTGGACTTCCCTGACTAAAGCAGAAAAGGAGATGGCCACAACTGTGTTTGAAGAACAAACACATTAATTGTGACTTGTTCTGCACTTCCCTGTGCCTGGAAGAAAACGAATAAGCAGCCAACCCATTTCAGATATGGGCTATTTTCAAATCCTCTTAAATAACCTTGGTCTCTGTTGAGTAGTGCATAAAGCTGCTGCACTACATGTTGTCATTAAGAAGAAGGAAAAATCAATTCCTCCTCCCTGATCCAATGATGATGGGCCATGTTGGTTTGATCAGACGACCCAGCTGCCTTTGGGCTCTTACAAAGAGCAGTGAACATTATGTAGGGGATAATCCTTTTCCGGTGCTGGCTACGAGATAATTCATTTTAATATAGCAGTATTCACCCTCCAAAATCAATCGGATTAATCACTGGCTTGCACTCTGCTGGTGTAGCACAGCCTCATCTGGAGACATTCCCTGTATAATGGGAGATGCCAGCAGAGGACATTGTGCTGATGCCTCTCCAGCAGTGGGACTTAGCACTGCTCGCTAAAATCAGTATCTGTCTGTGTTTGCAGTCCTTTGACTCTCCTTTGGAAAAGCTTCTAATTAACACAGCTTCCAAATCCTTACCACCTTGGGCTGGTGGTGTTTTTTATTTCTCCTCCATCTGTATTGCTTCAGAGTCAAACCTGATCCTGGTCATTTAAAAAGGAGGCAGTTGTTGTTAGGAAGGAGTGATTCTTCCCCTTTTCAAAAACATGTCCTGTATTTCCCCAGCCTGGCCTTAAGGCAGGGGATGGAGCTGGGAGCACAGCTTTGCCACTGGGCTCAAGCATTGGAGGTGAGTCTTTTCAGCTCTCACCTTCTTGTTTATCCCTCTGCATCAGGAGGAAAGAAAGCTTCTATCCTTGTAGGGCTTTTGCCATTGCAATGAATTCCTACATGGAAATGGTTAACAACGGGCTGCAGGCTGGTGCTAGAGAGGTTTGTCTCATAGTGATTGCTGGGGAATATTTTGCTTAGTAGCTGGAGTTTACCTAATTCTGCTTCCATTAATATCAATGCTGTGATTCCTCCTGACTGTGGATTAGAGATATTATCCACTGCTTTTGGAAATCCATCTGTTTTACAGAAAATTGCCTTCCCCAGGATTGCTGTGGGGCAGCAATGGATGCAACAGAGCTTTCTTCTGCTGCAGTGATGAGGTCTCTGATGACCTCCCAGTGCATCAGACAGAGGGTGAGATGGAAAATTTGAGCTCCGGAGATCCCAGACCCTTCCTTGCTCATTTTTCCTCTCTTTTTGACTCATTCGGGAGCTTCTAGTGACACTTGGTTTCCTCCCATCCATCTGCTACGTACTGCTCCTCTCTGGTATGCATTAGGGCCCATGTCATCCTGCATGTGCAGGATCCCTGATTTCCCTAGATGCAGACAACATCTTGCCATTCAGATCTCATTTTAAAGCCTTTCCTGTTTAATGTCTTCAGCGTTTTTTCTCCCACCAAGATGGAAACTGCTGCTCGTTTTAAGGCAGATTGCGCCCACACTCAGCTTCCAGGCTTTGGACATTGTCTTCACTATGGAGTTGAAAACATCCCATCTCAGCTCTTTCTGTGTGCAGCTGCTTGTCCCTCCTTTGGAGCTGGATTCCTGCTATTCTCAGAACACCTGTTGTTTCTGACTGTTGCTTGGTCGGTGTCACTGGCTTACTGGCCCATTGGGTGATGCACACTGGATTTGCTCCTGTATCAAGAGATTTGCTAAGGTTAGAGTCCTCTTCATAAACAATCAAAGCGAATGTTATTAGCATCGAATCAATAACCTAATCTAGTACTTTCATGAAAAGAAAAGATCTAAAGAGCTGTTCAGACTTTTACCAGCTACCCTGGGGAATCCCATTGCACAGTGGTGATGCTGCAGAGGCTGTGGTTGCTTTGTGCCTGAGGCTCCAACGCCTGCAGGAGCAGCATGGCTGCAAGGCTGGGGGAAGGCTTTTATTCCTTGGATCTGTTCAAAGGAGATTCAAGGTTGAAGGCCTCCTCTTTCCAGCCTTATGCTCCCTCATTGCAGCAATAAGCTGTGGCTGCTGCTGGCCCAAAGGAGAGCTGTGCATCTCACACCTATAGTGACTGCAGAGAGAGTTTAAACACAGCTCTCCCATTTGATTTTGGCACGAAGTCATTCCAGCCTAGCAGGGAAGCAAGACCAATGCTCAATAATTTGAATTAATTAAAGGATCATTCATTAATGCGCCGAGGTAGCGTTAAAGCAATTTTCCATGGTTAAGTGGTTTGACAGTCATTAGGGCTGTATGATTTATTGCGAAACCAACGTGACTGTCAGATGAGGAGTAGGTAAGTCCTGAAAGGCTCAGCACTCCAAGTGGAGCATTGCACTTCTCTGCTCTGCACAGCCATGCTGGTCCCACACCTGGGCTCTGCACAGAGGCAGCTGCTACACAGAAACCTGGAGCTTGGATCTGATTCTTCCTCTGGAGCATCGCATCTCCCCAGTGAAGAGGTCCAGACCTTCTGCTGTTTGGTCAGAGGCTGTTATTTGCTGGATGTGTGAGGGCTCAGGAGGGGAGGAGGACAGACTGGAACAGGATTTAGCTGAGCTCACTCATGGCTTATGTATGCTCTGCAATGTGAGCTGTTCATAGCAACTGCCAGGGAGGCTAGACCAGAAAATCAAGGTATCTGCGTGCCAGTTTGTAATATGCAGATGAGAGATGGTCAGGAGACTTTCTGTAGATGAAATAGAAACCAAAATAGCCCAATGAATTAGTCATATGCTAATTACAGTCATTGGTTGGTGTTTCTGCAGGCTGTATTAATGCACTGCAAATTGCACACAGCTCTGTTAGCTGTTTTCTCGTGGTCCTAGCACCATCCTACAACAGATTTCTAACATCAGAGCTAAAGAGCATCCTCTAGGGATGCAAAAGTGCCATTTAAGCAATGCTGCTCCAGTCTCCATAACAGTTTCACACTGTACCAAGGGGCCAAAATCAGGCTTGAAAGGTGGGAAGTTAAGCACCCAAGCATTTTCCTCAGTGTCAAGCAAAAGCACAACCATTGCCCATTGTGTTCTCCCACTCATTTCCATTTTTCTCCTCCCAGAGCTGCTGTGTGGGCTGTGCAGGGGATGCTGTGAGCTGAGGACCCACTGCTGCACGCGTGGGCTGGGGAGGCTGCGGGGCTGCACACGCTGTGCTCTGACACTGCAGAAATGGGCAAAGAGCTGCCTGTGCAGCTGCAGCATTCCACGTGCCACCTCCCACAGCCTCTCTGTAGCTGTCCATATGTACTGACTGAGGAATTTTTATCTCCTTACTGCTTTTGCTGAATGCACTGGGGAGGTATTTTGAGCTCGTTGCCAGTGAAGTCCGCGTGCCTGTGGACTTCCATGGGTGGCACCTGGCTGTGGAGCACACAGGTGTCCTGCTGAGATGCTGTCTGGGAAGGAAACTGCACGGGGTGAGGAGAAGAGAGTTCCTGGATGCCACTTGGTGTCCTCCAGCCCAGGCCAAGCTCTTAGCTGGCACCTGGGTGCTGTGCAGCAGATGGTGTCATGATCCTAAAGCCTGGCTGTGAAAGCCCAGCTGCTACGGGCAACCCAGGGTAGCATCAGCTCCACAGCGCAGGCATGAGCTGCAGTGCCACGACCCACCTGCCTTGGGGGTGACAAGGCTGGGGACAGGGTGTCCAGCTGCAGGGACCCTCCTGCTCTCATGTTCTTATTCTGCTCACCCTGACAGCTGCTGGGGTTCATACAGGCTTCTCACAGCTCATAGGCTGTGATGTTTGTGGGGTGAGACATTGACCTTTCCTTGAGAAGTTCAGGATGTACAGTGACTGCTTTATGGCTGTTCAGCTTCCTCTTCAGGAAGAACTAGGACACAGAGCTCTGCAGAGCAGCCTGAGCTCTGGTATTTTATTTTGGTTTGATTAGAAATGATAATAATAAAAAGTCTTGGCAAAAGTGTGTCTGAATATGAGCTTGAGTCACCCACCTCCACA